TTTTTTTTTTTTTTTTTTTAATGTTTATTTTGAGAGAGAGTGCTTGCAAATGGGGGAGGGGCAGAGAGGGAGACAGAATCCCAAGCAGGCTCAGCACTGCAATGCCCACTAGGGGTTAGGCTCCATCTCACTGATTGTGAGATCATGACCTGAGCAGAAACCCCAAGAGTTGGATGCTTAAGTGACTTAGCCACCCAGGTGCCCCTGTCTTCAAGAGTTCTGATAAAGTTGATTCTGACAAAGTTTGCAGATTTTTTGTTGTTGTTTATATATTTTTTTCTAGTGGGGGACAAGCTGCAAAAGTTACCTTCTCTACCATTTTTGCTCATGTCACTAGAGAATAGAGGTTTTTTTTTTTTTTAAACCTAGTTTCTGAATAGCTGTGGCAGGTTGCAGATCAAATATACCGAGAGACAATCTATTCAGAACCAAACATCTCTTCTCAGTAGCTGATCTGCATTTGATTTGACCCTGTGTACATACCTTGCTTCCTAAAAGTATAATGTATTATTTTCATGGAAAAAAAAAAAGTAATCTAATACTCTTTTTAAAGTATATAGAAATGAGTCAGTTTTCCATGACACCCTTTATTTTGACATGTTTTATGTCTTGTAAAAATCTATTCAGATCATAGATTCCAATTTTTAAAAGTAAAGTGGTGATATATATTTTTATTTCTGGGGATATAATTATTTTTAAAATTCCCCTTTCCTAGTTTACCACTTGGGTTTGACTACCTTATGAAATATATTGCGAATTTTTATACTGTAGATACAAAATAGCTAAAGAGAAAAAATGAATGTAAAGTGACAATTTTCTTTTCTTTTCTTTCTTTCTTTTTTTTTTTTTTTGGCAGGTTATTAACAAATTCAAACAGACTAACAACAACCAGAAATGCTGTATGGGCCCTCTCAAATTTATGTAGAGGGAAAAACCCTCCTCCAAACTTTAGTAAGGTATGAATAAAATATACAAATTAAGGAATCTATCTATATAAATGTTTAAATCTCCTTATAATAGATTTTTAGAGATTGAAGGAAACATTATGCCTTTTTTTGGTAATTATTTTCTTTATTGACCAGACAATATTGAGATATACAGTGGAAAAGAAGTTTCCCTTCTGCTCTTACTTTACCTCATGATTGCCCCTCAGCAACCATTGTCACTTTGTCACTTGATGTTTATGTACGTTAATGTTGACTTTAGAAATCCACTAGTCTAGTTCTTTTCATTTATAGGAAATTGAAGCCCCTAAAAAGGTAAAGGTAATTCATCCAGGTCTACTCTTAGTTGTAAAATCTGAAAAGTAATTAGTCCATGGTGGCTTCTGCTTTCCCAGGTACTTTTTATCTGTTTAGAATATCTTTTTCCCCATCTCCTCATATTCTGCTAAAAGAGTAGATTATTAATAAATTCCCAATCTAGTTCTATTGTCTTACCAATAAGATGCTGTTAAAAAAATAGAATGTAGATAAATTTCTGGGCTATCATTATACTTCTTCTGAATTCAGTATTAATTAAAGAGGAACAAGAGCTCAAAATCTGGTGTGGATTTAGTGATAACGTTTCTGGGGGCAAAAAATAATAAATTCCTTATTCAAAAATATGCATGAATTAGTGTGCCTTCTCATTTATGCTTTAACCATTCCAGTTTTAAAAATGGATGATTTGGCCACATTTCATGTGAACTGCCAACACGACTTTAAAATCTCATTGGTACCATGATTCTGTTGATCTTTCTCCACACCCCATAGCATGTTATGGGTTCAATCATAGTTCATAAAATTCTTATACTACCATCTATGCTTATTCTATTCCATGTTTGTTGACAAGTGCATAATATGACTAAAGAGCTAGTTTAAAGCATTGTAAAGTATGCTAAAAGGAGGAACAAAATTATTATTTTAATCAGAAATTTGGTTTAATAGATACATATATTAGAAAAGTTTTGCATAAGTTGTACCACAGCTCCTCGAGGAAGCATATAAAACATTATAAAACAATGTTGCAACAATGGCCTTATTCAGTATAAAAGCATTTTTTATAATTTTCACTTTAATAGTGAAAGAAGAAATGAGTATTTGGACTGTGTATAATACAAGGAAAAGAATATTATGTGGTACACAAGTACCCCTCAAACAGCCTTAAAAAAAAAAACCTATATAAAAAAGGTGATTATTTGGCATGATCATTATAGAATTGGAAGGAAAGAAAATGTTCATATTTTATCTAAGGAGATGATAAGGATCCATACAACTGATGGTGGTGAATCTTTCACCAGCTATTTATATGTTTAGACTTGCATGTAGAATTTGCTTGCTAATTATATTTATGGTTTTAGCAATCATAGTAATCTACTTTACCTCTTAAAAATGCTATTTTAATTGAGATTTTACTCCGTGAACTTTGGTTTATGCATTGCTTTTCATTTTAAATTTCTTTCTTTAAAATACATTACTTTTAAGCGTTTGGGGTTTTGTTGCCTTCCTCTGCTTTTAAAATAGTGTGCATCTGTATGTGTATATTTTTAAATAATAATTATGAGATAGTTGTAAATATATAATTAGTTTAAAATGCCATGTTTGATTTTTCCTTTTTCCTTATTAGTAACAGTATTGGATTATTTTTTTAAATATATATTTATTTATTTTTGAGAGAGAGAAGGAAAGAGAGTGCACAAATGAGATAGGGGCAGAGAGGGAGAGACAGAATCCCAAGCAGCTCAAACTCATGAACCATGAGATCATGACCTGAGCTTAAATCAAGAGTCAGCTGCTTAACCTACTGAGCCATCCAGGTGCCCCTTAAAATATATTTTATATGTATATATATGTGTATGTGCATATTTCCCATTTCATCTTATAATGTATTCAAAAAAACATGTATTCAAGAGTTGAGATTTAATAAAATTAGTAATTTTTACTGTTTCTACAAGTTAATTCTTAAATGAAACTGGGTTTCTCTCCCCTTCTAAGTATGTGGAGGTAAAAAATTCAAAGATCAGTGGTACATTTTGGTACTACTGCCTGATTTGTACTGAAGTACTGATAGTTTTACCCACCATTGCTTTTGTAGCTTTAGTACAAATGTCAACAAAGTGAAAAAGACCCATTATGTGTTAGAATAATTATGAAAATGGTTTTGGCATTAAAGAGCCCCCTGAAAGTTTCAGGAATCCTCCAGGGGTCCATGGACCATACTTTGAGAACCATTGGCCTACAACTTAATGCTTAGTATCTGCTTAATATGTACCTAATTCCCTTTTCTTCCTTAAATGCTTGCTTATAAATCACCTTTTCCATGAGCTCTACTCTGATTACTGTATATAATAATGTAATCTGTCACTGCCTCCAGCCACTGACTTCCACATTTTAATCTAATTTTTTTGCTCAGCATCCTTTAACATAGTATGTGTTTTTTAAATTTTTTACATATATTAATTAAAAAAAATCTTCCATTAAAATATAAACTCCTTAGAGTTAGGAATCTTTGTCTCTTCTTGTTTACTTATATATCCCAAGCTTACAGTGTAATTCACGTTAAAAGGGCTTAAGACTTTTGTTGCGTACATTTTCTGTGATTTTTCTATGAGAGATTTTTCCTGTATCGTTGACTTTTTTTGAAATTTTTATTTTTACAATCATATTTTATATTTTCAAGATTTTTTTTGTTTTGTTTTCTGCTCATTTTTATATAGACTTCTTCATAAGCTTCTTTTATGGACCTAGCAAATTATGCATCTGTGAGGATTTACAGTTTTTTTGAGCTTTTCTTTTTTCTGGTGTCTCTGTTTTTTTGTATGTTTTTGTTTTGTTTATGGTTTGTTTGTCTTAGTCTCATTTTTACTGGGGCATCTCCTCATTTAACTGGTGGTCTTGGGTACTCTGGACATACTTAGGAAGCAGGCAGTAAAAGCTAACTGGAAAATGGGTAGATAGGTGGGTGTTTAGACTCATCATTTCATGGACTTCATTACAGAGTAATTGGACAGCAAAACCATGTTTTCTCTGAGGAACTCCAAATTTCAGTATGCTTTCTGAGATCATACTGTCTCCAGAGACGATTTTCCAGTCTCCTGCTGGAAAGTAAATAGATTGGGTTGAGGTGTGGTATATAGATAATACTACTGGAGATGTGAGAATTGGGTATTGGAAGAGGGCTAGAGGATTTCTTCAGTCAGTATGTAAACTTTTACTCTGGAATTTCTGATCCTGTGCTTTATTTCAACCTTGTCTATGCCTGATACCCCAAAGTTCAGTTTCTGTAGTTCACTTTTTGTTGTTCAGCTTCTCCTTAAAAGAAGCGTCTAGTCTTTGGTAGCATTGAGAATATTAGACACCTACCTATATGGTAGGGACCCAGAGTCTAACCTGTTTCCCATTTAGATTTTTAAGCTCTTTCTGTTTTAACACTGTTCCTCTTCTGTGTTTTCTGTGATACCTGGTACCTCTGATTCTTGAGATCTTTGGGATGATAGTTGGATGATAAATTAGCTTTCTTTTTCTTCTTTTTTTTTCAAGCTTCCTTCTTATTGGTAGCTACCTCTCCAGGCATTGAGGTGCCACCTTTCCCTCCTCATTTATAATCGTGTCCCCAATATATTACGGGCAGGATTACAGATGTCCACTGCACTCCTCAGAGATAGAATTTGTATTTCTCTTTCTTCTTTTCCTTGTTCTGAGAAGGCAGTGAATCAGAAATATTTTATTTTGCTTCCTTTAAAAATATGTAGTACTTCACTGTTTTTTAAGTCAGTACAAAGATATGGATTAGCTATGCTGAATTTTTTAACTCAAAAATTTATATTTGCTTTAAAAATAATTTACACATTTCTCTGTTCAAGGAAGAGAAGGTGGTTGGCAAGGGTGAAGGCATGATTGTTCAGGAAGGATCCAGTTGTGCAGATTTGTTTTACTAACTTACAGGCACATCTATTTTGTAAAGAAACTATTTCTTGTTCCGGGGCCCTAGGGTCATCCTTACAGGAGACGGCCCAGCAGAGAACATTGATAAGTATTTTTAGAAGGTTATAGTTTATGTCCTGGCAGTCTTTAAAATTGAGGTAAAGAGAAAATTCATCTAAAATACTAGAGCATGAGGGGCATCTGGGTGGCTCAGTTGGTTAAGCGTTTGACTTCGGCTTAGGTCATGATCTCACGGTCCATGAGTTCGAGCTCCGTGTCTCGGGCTCTGTGCTGACAACTGGAGCCTGGAGCCTGCTTCGGATTTTGTGTCTCCCTCTCTCTCTGTCTTTCCCCTGCTCTCTCTCTCTCTCTCTCTCTCAAAAAATAAGTAAACATTTAAAAAAATTTTTTTTAATAAAAATAAAATACTAAGCATGAAAAAGCTATCATTACTCTTTTTTTGTAGCATATCTAAATTTAGCATACAGCCCTTTTCTGAGATAGAAGGGATACTTTAGGATGCTGATAAAAAAAAAAAAAAAAAA